CTTGAAGACCATGGGCCTCGATCTGACGAGGTCGAGAATGTAGACGACGTCACTGAGCGTAATCCTGGCTTGCAAGAATGTGGGTGTAGAAGTGTGGGGCAGCTCCCTAACTTATCACCTTCTACGCCTCAGGACCAGCAGGTGGCTGATTTGGCGATTTGCTCGAAGGACAGACATGGCATACACAGACAGGAACTGTTGGAGCCTCCGCGCGGCTTTCTGGGATCCGCGCCGGCGGCGCCGCCAGGAAGGCACCACGGCGCCAGTCCAGGAGAAGCCGTGCGGAGCTCCGCGAGGTCAGGGTTATGGAAACTGCTGTGCCGTGAGAAGAGCACTCAGGCAGCCACCTGCTGGTCAGAGGGTGCGGAAGGTGGAGCATCATAACAGGGGATGCGTCGACCCCTATCCCAGGCTCCGTGAGGTTTTCGAGAGGATCAACAATTTGGGGCCCAACCCTGGGATATACGAGGGGGGGGCGTCCATCCTCGACAGGGGTGCGTCCGAATAGCTCCCTCGGGATGTATCCCAAGATTCCTCCCCTTTTCTGAGCGACCAAACTTTTCTGGCGGAAGTCGGGGATTGGGGGAGAGAAATCGCCTGCGACATCAGGGCTGGGGGGCGAGATGGGCACATGGAGGCCGGAGCTTTTCCAGGTCACTTCGGCCTCCGGGCGCCCTTTTGGGGCCCTCGGGGGTGTCAAAACCCTCTGCCCAAGAGGCCCCGGGAGACCCTCAGGATGCGATCCTCCTCCTCCTCCTCCTCCTCCTCCTCCTCCTCCTCCTCCTCCTCCTCCTCCTCCTCCCCCTCCCCCTCCTCCTCCTCCTCCCTACCTCACGATACGCTCTGGCAATTCGGGAGTATCTGGCAGCCCTGGCTTCTGGAGCCCGTACGGATCAGTAGGGGATCAGGACAATCCCAGGGCTGAACCAAATGTTGTTGTTTGTGTTTTTCGTTTTGCTCTGCCTGTTTTCCTGTACCTCCCTGCCAAAGCGAAAACAAAGCACAGCCAAAGTCCAGCAAAACAGCGTTTAGGTCCAGCCCTGGACAATCCTGGACATCTTGGCACGCGTCATCCTCTCATGACGTCCTGCTCCACTCAACGACGGGAGGTATGGCGACCCTGGTCCACGACTTTGTGTGTGTGTGCGGGGAGGGGGGGTCCGAGTGGACCAGAAATCTGGGGACGAACTCGGGGATCTACGAACAGGGGGGGGTTCGTCCTCGACAGGGTTGCGTCCGAACATCGGGGGCGCGCAGACATGGATTGTCGATCCCTGTATTCGGCGCGCGGTCGCCACATCCATGGATCTGGGGAGGTGCCCTCCCCAAAAATGCTGCCGGTGCCGCCTCGCTCGGCAGCGGACATCCGCGGTGTCCCATGGAAGCGGGACCCGTCGCTAATCCGCGTCCCCTTGATCCATGCTTGCGATCGCCTGGCATCCCCGATATGGGTGCGTCCGGATAGCTCCCCCTCCTTGAGGCATGAGACCCCAGAAGCGAATCGGTGAAGTCGGATCGGCGATCGAAACGAGTCGGATCGGCAGAAATCGGCAGCCGAGTCGGGATAAGTCGAATCGGCAGACATCGGCAGGCTGGTAGGCCTCCGTTGAGGAATCGGAGCCCAAATCGGAGTCCAAAGCCGAATGGAATCGGATTCGGAAGCAATCGAAGTCGAGTCGAATCGAAAAGGAGAAGTCGAGATGAGCCCTCCCTGGGGTGCATCCCCGAGCTTCCTTGCCCGTTTCGCAGGGCGGCCCGACTGAATTCGGGCAGAATCCTCGGGGGATATCGGGGCGTACATATCGGCTGGAACAGGGGCGCGGCCTTGAGGAGAAGGGGGGAGGGGAAAACTGTTGGCCCGCCTCCAGGGGAATCGGGGGGGGAAATTGGGCCCCCCCCCCGGGAGGCCCAAATCAGTGAATTTCGCCCTCTCGCCGAGGTCTGCCTGAACCCTCGCATCTGTCGCGGGGCGCCGCGTCCAGGTCCCGGGGAGGGGGGCGGGGAGAGAAATGGAAGCAGGGAGGGGGGGCGGGGAGAGAAATGGAGAGAATCCAGAGAATCCTGAGCGTGTCATAGAAGAAGAAAGCACGGCATCAATATACAAACTTTCGACGGTCCGCGCGGATTTCGTGTATCTGCGCTGGACACCCCTCCCTGGCGCGCGGAGCGCGCCAGGGGCGGCGGCGCAGGCGCCGCCGGGGAGCCCAGCACGGATCCAAGAAACCCGCGCGGAGCGCCAAAAGTTCATGTTTGTGGCGTTTTGTCTTCTTCGACTCATGGCGTCCTGCTCCTCCGAGGGATGGCTCGGCAGGCCCAGTTCCTCCCTGGGGAAGGGACACAGAGACATTTGTATACAGATGTAGACACATGCATACACGTACACACATATGTACATTATATATATATATATGTATATATATATATATATATGTATGAATATATATATATATATATATATATGTGTGTGTGTGCGTGCGTGTTACACACATACATGCATGCGCCTACATACATGTATACAAGTGCATGCACCTTTACATACGCATACGCTTATGCACATGCATATACATGTACGCATACACTTACACAGGTACATACATACACATATACGTTTACACATATCTGTATACGTTTACACATGTACATACATACACATATACGCATACAAATTCACATGTATATACATATACATGCAAATATACGTATACACATATCTGTATAGAGAAATGTATATACATACAAATACCCATACACATGCATACACGCACATAGACAACTTACATGTACGTAGACACGCACGTATCCTTATACATATACATACACACGTAATTCCACACACATCTATGTACACGCATATAGGTATATGCCCATGAATACATGCGCACACATATATATATATATATATATATATATATGTGTGTGCACACATACATACATGCATGCATGCATGCATACATGCATGTATGCATGCATACATACATACCTACCTATAGACATACGTACATACACACACATGCATGCATACCTACATACCCACATAAACATACACCGATATACCCTTTTATCTGTATAGCTGTATATATATAGTTATATATATACATATATGCGCCCGGGAGGAGCGAGGGCGAGGACGCGAAGGGGCGCGCGGCCTTTCCCGGGACGAGGCGGGGAAGTCAGGAGGCGAATGCTAGGAGGTCCTCGTCAACAGGATTGGTGAGGAAGATTGAGCCCCATTCGACGGCGAACGACTGGGTGGAAATGAGGAGAAGGCCCTCTTAGAAGGCGGCGGGGCTTCTCACAAGCCCTCTGGCCTTCTTAAAGGCTTTCTTTGTTTTCGCGGACGGCCGACTTCCGAGCCTTCTGAGAAGGCCCGCCCGCCCCTTTTCATTTCCCCCCCTCGCTCGCCGCCGACCCATGTTTTGGGGCTGCTACGCCGGACTAGGTCGCGGATTTAGCGGGATCAGGCCGGATGAATCGGGATTGTGCCTGGCCTGATTGAACGGGATTGAGCCACATTCTGCCAGATTGCGGACCAGGGCAGAGTCAGAATTTGACCTCCCATGGATGCCTCCGACAGGAGGGGAAAACGGCAATGGGGGGGAGAGGTCCGATACATCTCGCCACGCGACCGCTTTGGATTCGGACGTTGGCTGCCCCGATATGCAACACGCAACACGTAACTTATTCATACAGAGCTCAACGCGTTGGCTGAAAACGTGGGTATGACGCGACACCCTCGCCACAGCGTGGGCCAACACGTTGAGCCGGCACGCAACGTAGTGACACGGACGTTTTGAGCACGTGCTGCGTTTCCGAACGGGCGTGTGATAAAGGTTTAACCGACGTGGGCTCCTGACAGTGCGTTATAATACACGATGCGATGCAAGGTATGTGGCAAAAACTGATTGTTACAAACAACTTGACACACCCCATGTGCTTACAAACGTCCCACCAACCCACCCGCAATTTGGTTTGCAAAACCCATGCGGCGGCGATTGCGATGAATGCTTGGCGCTGGCTGGTGCACCTCTGCGGCCACGCCAGCCCGCGCATGCACGCGCGCGCAGCGTCCACCCAGTTTGGCGCGAGCGACGCGGCCGCGCTGGCGCTGACCGCTGGTTACATCCCAGCGGGCACTATAATGCGGGTCGGCGACTTGGGCGGGCGCGGTACCATGGCAATGTCGACAACGGTAAGCAAAGGGATGATATTAGCGATGCTAGTGACGGTCCTGGCAGCCACGACGGCACGGCCAGTGACGGCGCCGATGATGATCACGCCGGCGACGATGACGGCGTCCCCGCGTCGGTGAAGAGGGCTTTTGAAGGAGTTCGCCATGTGCGCGCGGCCGACGCGCGAGAGTGGCCGCAGGGTACTGTTTGACATGGATCGTGCCCTCCAGCACGCGCCCAAGGGCGTTCGAATGACTTTGGCATGCGGCGCGAGAGGCCCGTTTGGCAGAATTCCATGAAGATGTTGAAATAATTGTATTCTTTATGGAAAAAACCCAAGCTGAAGGCGAGCGCAAGCTTTCTTGAAAACCATGTGTTCTTGTATGGCTTCGGGGCACTCACTCGGTTTTGCCATTCTTGTGGGACCTAAGGCTTTGAAGGATTCCAACATGCGAGGGCATTCGCGCGCGACGGCGCGCGCGCGCACTTCGTCCCACCTGTTGCAAACTATTCTCGCGGCGGCACGCGCGCAAAGGCGCTCGAATGATTCCGACAAATGCGCGCGCAAAACCCGCTTAGTAACATTCGCGTTCTGAAATTGTATGAAAAAACTAGTTCCTTATTAAGCGTTCGCTAGAGCGCACGCGCAAATTGTTTTGAACATCCGCGTGCCGATGCCATGCGTTTTACTATGTGGTTTGGATACTCGGTTTCAAGATCCTCGCGGAACTTGAGATTTTGAAAGAACTCGGCATGCGCGCGCGACGACGCGGGCGTGCACTTCGTCTCACGCGTTGCAAGGCATGGTTTTAAACCGCAAGTTTTCGACAAACGACTGCGCACGCATAGTATTCTCTGCACACGATGACGGGGGTGTCGGTACCGTTGGGCTGGGATGGTCCGAGTTCAGATTTAAGATGGACGGTGGGGCAGAGTCACACGTACATTGAAATACGAAAAGGTGAACTGTTAACCACGGAGGGCAGTAGGTCCTAATTTTATTTAGAAGGGAGGATCTATGTGGTGTAGGCAATGTGGTGCAATCTGCGTGCTGCAACGTATATGGTGCAAGCTACGCGTTGCAAGTGATTGTTTCAGACGAGCTGGTAAATTCCACACTCTCGCAAGCGCCCCACCCACCCACCCGCAACTTGGTTTGGTAAACCTGTGCGGCGGCGGTTGCGATGAGGGCTTGGCGTTGGCAGGTCCATCTCTGCGGCCGCGCTAGCCCGCGCACGCTCGCGCGCAGTGGCCAGCTAGTTTGGCGCAACCGACGGGGCCGCGGTGGCGCTAACCGCTGGGCACTTCCCAGCGGGCTCTCTCCAATGCGGGTCGGTGGCGTGGGCGAGCGCGGTATCATGGCGACGCCGGCAACGGTAGACACGCTGATGCCAGTAGCGGTAATGGTTACGATGGTGACGATGACGCCGGCAAGGTCAATGACGTCGCTGATGTTGATCACGCCCGCCGATAACGATGGCGATGTCTTCGCGTCGGAAAAAGGTTTTGGAAGGGGTTCGACATGCGCGCGCGGCCGACGCGCTCGAGTGGCCCGCGTTGTATAATTTGACACGGGTCGTGCCCCCCCCCCCCCCAGCACGCGCGCAAGAGCGTTCGGATGAGTTCGACATGCGGTGCGAAAGGCCCGTTTCGCAGAATGTGATGAACATGTTGGAAACGCAAAGGTTTGCTGCAGAATCCGTGAGAGCGCGAACGCAGGACTTGTTCAAACCTGATGTTGCACAACCAGGTGTTTTTTCGAATGCGTTCGCGGCACTCGGTTTTGAAATCCTTACGATCCCTTTGACTTGTGAAGCATTCTGGCATGCGCGCGCGACGACGCGCGCGCGCGCACCGTTTGAGGGCCCCCGACGACTCGTTCTCCGACGGTCCCAAGGGGTCGAACACGGCGCGGCCTTCCGTCGTGCGTTGTGTTCACGGCGCGAGGGTGTCAAGGAGCGCCGCCCGATCCCAGCCACTCCCGACGTGCGGGGAAGGGGGGGAAGGCCCCTCCGGCTCGCCCTCGGACCAAGACCTCCCGCGCGCTCACACGTTCGCTTGAGCCAGCGTAGGCTCCAGAGGCGTCCTCGGCCCCTTTCCCCAGGGCCGGCCTGTCCTCTCCTTGCTCAGCCTGCAAGTGCTCGTAATCGATGGGGCGCCAAAAAAGCGTTCCCCGGCCAGTGGGATCGGGTTCCCCTGGGCCCGCGTTTTATCCAGGCTAATCTTGCGGGTGATCGCGGTCAGGACGAATTTGGATACCCCACCCGCTTCGCACAACAGCGCAGAAGCCCGAGCGGTGGTCAGCTTCTCAGCGGCCAGTCGACCACCGCAGTTTACAACGGAGCGTTCCGCCTGGATCCCTGCGCTGGCGGTGGTCGAATACGGCAGGTTCGTGTCGTGCCGACCCCAGCGTTGGCTTTTGACACCGCAGGGATCATTCAACCTTAAACGATCGGCCGCTGCCGCAACGTCCGATCGTTCAACATCGATCGATTCTGGGCCGCCGGCGGCGTTCAACCTTGAACGCCCGCGCCGAGGTCGCCGCTGGTCGACACGACGCAAACCTACCGTACTATTTGCCGCATTCGGGCCCGAAGACTGTCCCCAAAGGGCGAAACGAGGGCGCAAGGAAGGAGGTGGAAGTGGAGGAGGAGGAAGAAGAGGAAGAAGAGGGGGAGGTCGCCGCTGGTCGACACGACGCAAACCTACCGTACTATTTGCCGCATTCGGGCCCGAAGACTGTCCCCAAAGGGCGAAACGAGGGCGCAAGGAAGGAGGTGGAAGTGGAGGAGGAGGAAGAAGAGGAAGAAGAGGGGGAGGGGGAGGAGGAGGAGGAGGAGGAGGAGGAGGGGAGGAGGAGGAAGGAGGAGGGAGGAGGAGGAGGAGGAGGAGGCGGAGGAGGAGTGGGGGAGGAGGAGAGGAGGCGGAGGAGGAGAGGACTTTAGCTAAACAGACCGCCAGGAGCTTGGGCCCCCTGCTCGTGGCCGAGGTCGCCCGTGCCTACAAGAGAGCCCAAGAGCCTGCGCGAGCCGCCTCCGAAGAGCCCAGGAGCCTGCTTCTCCTCCTCCTCCTCCTCCTCCTCCTCCTCATCCTCTTTCGTCCTCCTCCTCCTACTCCTCCCCCACCCCCCTCCCCCCCCCCCCCCTCCTCCCTCCTCCTCCCTCCTCCTCCTTTCCTCCTCCTCCTCCTCCTCCTCCTCCTCCTCCTCCTCCTCCTCCCCTCGGAAGGGCGCCTGGCGTCCAAAGGCATGCGCGTGCAGTCGTACCTCGAGACCACCTTCTGCAGTATCTTGCTCGGCGACAGCGCCTGCGGCCCAGTTCCGAAGGCTCGC